TAAGGCAGAGGACAGGAACAAGCATGACAGAGAGAACAATAGGGCTGCGGGGGAGGAGCACCGACCATGATGGATAGGAGGGCAGACGATGTGTGCCTGGAAGGTAGCGACGGACAAACAAAGGGCGCGCTGGGAGGAGGGTATCGTGGACTCGAGTCAGCTCGAGGTGAAAGAAAGACAGACTGGCGGGGATGTTTGGCGATCTACGGAGTTCGACTTGACATCTGATGTTTGAAGCAGGAAACACATAAGGCAGACGGCGGGGTTTGGAGGGGCAGAGTGGTGGCCTCACGATTCAGGCAGCCGCCCCCATCTCACGCACACATCGCATCATCTCGGTTGTTTGCAGCAGCGAAACATTCCCGACGCCTTACCTCCACAGTGCTGCTATTGCCGGCAGCTGGCCTTGCTATAGGCCGTCGTTTATGCAGGCCATCAAACCCGTCACTCGGCAGCCGCCCGGTTTTCGTCTTCCTGGCGGTCATGGTCGCACCAGGACTCGAATGCGACGCTATCGCCCAACCTACGGTGCTGAGTGGCCTACGATTAGCAGCTGGAGGTGTGTCCTTGGGCACGTGGCCGTCTTCAATTACCAGGTAAGCTCAGAATAGCAACTACCTAGCATTTGATGCTCTCACCCACGGCTAGCGAGCTGTGGTATGCACACACACACAGTCGGTGCCTGTCGTCGCCTCATTCCAGCGCTTTCTAGATTAGCCTGGGCATGGTCAACGAGACATGCTGGATACGACCTGTCATGTCGTCGTCGCCGTCGTCGTCATCGCTCGAGCCCACCCAAACGCGTCCTGTGAGATACGACCATCAGCGCCGAGGACACGTTTTGCTAGTGGCCTTTGCTGTCTATCTTTGGTCCTCCGATTCAACTTGGCCAGGGATCAAGTAAAAAGCAATGTTTCCTTGCCTCGTCCAATTGGTCCAGGACGCGCTGGTGACTGCCTCAGTTCAGCTCGCTGGTCGTGTGCTCTCTTTTGCAGCTCCCCCTGTTAGCCTTGAGTTTTGACCCCTCCATGAAGATGGAGCAAGTGGCTGCCCCATATTTTGTCCTCATCACGAGGAACTAATTGGAACTCACCCATCACTCGCTCCCACCACCTGCATCTTGAGTCTCTGTCTTCCGCCCTGGACCGTGATAGGTTGGCTCGAGCATATCGAGGCCCGCACTCCATTGTGTACAGTTGGGCACCAACTGAACTCATCATGAAACATGTGTAGCAAGGGCAAAAATCGCGATTGGAGTATTATTATTTTGGAGTGATTCGCTGATGCTACAAAGTCCACTTCTATCCTGCAACACAATATTCAGCTTTATGAGCATGTGAACGACCCTCCGACAGTTCCCGCATTATAGTCATCGATCTGGGAATTACAACGATTAGCACGCTATTCAGAATCGTCTCACTTTGGAGCAGAAATGAGGTAGAGAGGTGAATATACTTACGATGCTCTTGATGGAAGCCCACGTTCCACCAACCAAAACGACCATGCCAACCGCAATCATGAATCCGTTGATCAACAGGGGCACCAAGTTCTTGCGGCTCAGAAGTGGGCCTTCGCGCAACAGCGTGAACCACATGAGTCCGGGTAGATAGAGCGCAAAGCCAGAGTTGAACAGACTTGAGATCAGGGCGACCAGGTTGCTGAAGAAGGGAATTGCCTCTGCGATGACCCAGCCCACAATGACGATGATCAGAACAGTCAGGAGCCAGGTGATCCAGCCGCGCGTCGTGTTAACATATCGCTCTACCTTGTTCGCATAGATGCGGCCGTGGATGAGTCGTGCAGCCGTCTGGGTGATGATGGCACCACTGATGAAAATGACGGGGAGCGCAACACCAAACGCGATCTTGCTGATGAGGGGCCCACCGGAGAGCAGGGCAGGCGACTCGACGTCGACGCCGACGAAAGCATAGACGAGGGTGCCGGTGAGGGTATAGATGAAGATCTCGATGATTCCGGCTGTCCAGACGCCCTTGGAATAGTCGGTCGGAGTGTGCATCTCGTCCATGAAGGAGAACTGGCACAAAGTGAAGGTGTATGCGAGGATGATGTTGACAACGGCAACGAAAACCTCGTGGGCAGTCACTCCGTCCTTGGGCTTCCAGGACCAGTTGATGGAGCTCATTCCTCCCACCGACTCGGACGCCTGGACGCCGGTAGCGATGATCGTGATACCGATGGCGGCGATGATGGAGATGAAATCGATGTAGCCGAGGATGGTCATCTCAGCAAACGAGGGAGGGACCGACACGAGGAAGAGGATGATAGCGGATACGATGCCAAACACCAGACTGCAGGCGCCGTTGTTGGTCAAGTCCTTGAAGGCAATCGTGCCTGTCAAGCAATGCGAACCGGAGACGAAGATGAGCTCGAGGAAAAAGATGGCGTAGACAAGCTCGTAGCCCCAGCGGCCAAACATCACCCGCCCCGCATCGGCGTAACTCTTGATCTCAGGATACTTGACTTTGAGAGCTCCGACGTTGTGTCCAGCATAGATGGCGAGGAAGCCGAAGAAGACGGAGACGACGGTGCCCGTGAACATGCCCAAGATGGAGAAGCAGTAAGGGAGCGAGAGGGCGCCGAGCGCAACGGCCTCGACAATCAGGATCAAGGCAAGACGGTGCCATCCGAGCTGGTGGAATTTGGCATTGCCGGCGAGGATCTTCTGCTTCTCCCATTCGGTGACTTCCCCAGCCGCAAGTTCCCTGTCGGCGGCGGCATCTATCAGCATGGTGCTGGCCTGCTTCTTGGTTTCCTTTCTCTCCGCTGCCGTGATGGCATCATCGTTATTGCGGGGAGCCATGTTGCCTCTTTTTTTCTTCCCCACGGAGATCGATCTCTGCTGTTATGTCTTGCCCAAACTTGAGAAACAAGGGTCATACACAGAGAGAAGCTAATGAGGAGGAGAGCAAGAGGGTAGAGAAGGGTTTTTACGTTCACCCTACTTTGGGAGCAACGGAACTCTATATAGCGGTTCCATTTGCATTGGGCCTTTATATTACATGGGGAAACCAGGCCGAAGTCGGATGAGAAAATAACGGGCAAAGTATTGCAGGGTCCAGGAAACCTCTCGGCCGTCTGACCCTTGGCTCGTGCCCAAGGAACAAAGCCGTGAATGGTACCTGGGAGGCAGTTTTTGAACACGGGAGTGGAGAGTTGGGTCGATTAATGTGGAACCTGGCGTGTTCCATGAGGCTTCTACGCTGCTTCTACCTATCAGAGTTTTCTCTCGAGACGTAGGAGGCTTGGGTTTGTCGCCTCCCGCTTGCCTCCATGGAGGATGTCACTAGCACTTCTAGCTGTTTTGAGACTGCCTGCGGGAGATCCACCAACCATGTTTCTCTCTGATGAGCCGCAGCCATCCAATTCGCGTTTCGGAGTTTTCTTTCGCCTTTTCGGGTCTCCCTTTGGAGGTTTATCAAGCAGTCTTCAACATGGCAACACTGCCACAAACACCCACACCCCTTCCTGAGAGAAGAGGCGAAAAAACTCTTCTACTGACTCAACCCAGTCCGTCTCTTAGTAACTGCTTATTGCTGTTGCTCATAACTTTTCATGCCGTGGATCCGTCTCGGGTGGATTTCTTTACCTAAGAGTCGGTCCATTTTACCTAATGCCAGTCTCCGGTTGAGCTGCTCGGGACGGCTGGTCCGGGGTCTTTTGCGGCTGCAGCCAAGGCCCGGGCGCCAAGTCTCGGCGCCTCGGTGCCTGGCGACCGTCTCTTCTTGGCCTTGTCTGGAGGCCGCTTCACCTCACCTCCCTCGCTGTCTCTATCCCCAGATTGACGATGCGCTCGTATTACGTACAAGCTTGCGACCTGTCAGCCTCTCCACGCCCTCCTCACACCACTCTCCCACCTCCGCGGCGTCTCATCTGCACATCTCGACACCGTTGACGCCTCGGCTTAACCTTCTATGGTGGATTCTGGGGTACCGGGCAGCCGCGGCTTACTCCCATTCCGCGTCTTCACCCCGGCGTGCGGAACGGTAGGCACCTTAAAACTTTGTTGATCCCCTAATCATGGCGCAGGAGGCCGTATTGGCGGCATGGGGTGGTGGAACGAGTCTTCTCGCCTCCCCGTGGAGAAACGAGGCGAGCCCCAGGTTTGTCAGGCTCTTCACCCCATGGACTCTGTTTCCCGATGTCGGATTGCTTAAATGAGATGCTTCGCTTCGGGTTGTGACTGACCCTCGTAGCTTAATGAAGAAGGTGAGGAGTTGTATATGCTGTTGTATGCCATCCGCGATATCCGGACAAGCGTCTGTCTTCTGCCTGATGTAGATATCACGTTGTTACTTTGCTTGATCTCGTGTTTGCATGAAATTGTGATTGTCTCGCTCTACCAAGGCAAGTATGGCGATAACCGTATTAGAAATGCTTGTGAAATTGCCGTCAGGGAGATGAGTTTGCTACTCTCCCACATGTCTTAGTAGTTGAACCGGATGACATGAAGGCGACACTTGAGGCTGACCATATTGCATCTGACGTGATAGTGAGGGCAATTTGCAGGCACCGGAACAATCTACAGAGACTAAATAATGGCAGTTTATAGTGTGCTTCTTTACCAGCTATTATCACTGATGAATACTAGGTCTATGCTATGAACTAGGGCGGCGTGTTAATGTAGTACGCCTATGGTAAACGTGAGAACAGCAACATCATTGAGGGAGCGGCAAGAATAATTCAAAAGGAGCTGGAGAAATGAGAGCAATTTTCATACACCACGGCTGGAATGAGAACATTTTGGATTACTAACTCATACGGAGCAATTGGGCCAGATGGAGCCTATCAAGAGCCGCGTTTACATTCCCACCGGCCCCGGCAGCGACAGCGGCAAGACATCAGGGTCGTCTCACCCATCCTGATTTGGATACTCGGATATTGCTTTTGAGTTGTCCGGGCAGGAATGCATGTATGGATCTTTTGGTTGGTTGGGGTCAACTAAACGTCGCTATCTTTGAGGCCTCAACTTCCCATCCAGTTCAAATCAACGCAAATACTTCACTTTTCTCCTTTAGCCCTTCTAAAACTTGCGAATTAGCATCCATAATCCCGTGTACATAGCAGGTGCCGAGAAACTTGTCCTCTCCTGGCTCCAGTCTGCGAACCACCACCGGGACGCTCAAGCCTGCAAATACAGCCAGCATGTCTCCCACCTGGCAATCAAAAGGGACCAAAGCCACATAGCCTTTTGCCGAACATGCCATTTTCCAGCCCATTAACCGAGGCTTGACGTGGTCAAGAAAAGAGCGCTCTAGAAATCTCTCCGCCAGCTCGGCCCGTTCCCGGCGGCGAGTGTCCTCCATCTCCCATTTTTGAAACAAGAACTTCTTGAAATCTGAACTATCCCTACCCTCGGTAACGGAACTATACATTGATCGTTTCCAACGTTCTTCGAGCGTCTGGGGCTCCTTTGCTTGATCGTGAGAAGAGCCTTTCGCCTTGTTTTCTTCCTTCAGAGCGGGGACGTTTATGTTTTCGTTATAAACCCAAGCAGAGAAGGACTTCTTCAGTCGCGCAAAATCATCATCGGTGATCCGCTCCTTGGCAGACCGTATTCGATCTTGGAGAAGTGTACGGCAAATTGCGTCTTCATAGCTCTCACCCGTGGGATACGCACCGTGACGCGCGGCCAAAGCCCACTCACGGACAATACTCGCCCACGAGTCGTCTTGAAAGGACTCTTCTGGTGGGCAAGCAAAGGTTTCAGATATTACGTCGAAACTATATCCCAAAACCTGCAGTTGCCCTAACGTGCTGTCGTTTTCATCCGTATACGTGTAGCCGGCTTCCGTATCACCTGCAGCACGAAAGGACCCAGCCCGTTGGCTCGATGACAACACAACGGGGGTTATAGCTGCAGGCACCGAGAAATCTGGTACCCAAGACGAGAGACTTGCTGATACACTTGAGGCTTTCATCGAACGACGTACGTCATTGAGGATGTTGAGTGACTTTTCCTTCCGGATGATTGCGATCGCGGTGTCCTGGTAGACCTGCTGCACCGACCTTGCATAATCAGGCGTGATGTCTATCTGATCCAAGTCGCACAAGTTTAGAAGTGCATAGATCTTGTCTCTCGGATCGCTGGACTCGCTATAGTCGAATCTGGAGAGCAATTTCATTAGAGAAGCTGACTGCCGGAATCCTGCGTGGTAATCATCGTTTCGTCGGAGACTCCGTTCGTGCATGAGTGCAGTCAGAGGCTGGCATAGAGCTTCCATATCAAGCTCCCCGTAATCAACCATTCGATAGTCCCGACTGCTGATAATATTCGACAGGCTGTCTACGCCGAACGTCTCTCGCCCAACTTGGAACCTCAGATCATCTGCATGGGTCCCCTCCTGGATGATCCAAGCTCGCTTCCACCAGGGGTTCTCAAAGACCCGTCTCAGAGCTTCCCATCTGTCCCCGTTCTCGAAGACGATGCTGCTCAGCGACGGAGCGTCATCTAGTACCTTTGGGACCATCCGAACCGGGCTGACGCCGTCATCAAACCCCTCCGTGAGAACATCGTCGGAACCACCGACCTGCTTCACAACTTCCACCGCCAAGTCTCCAATCGGACTGCTCGGACCAAGCCAAGCTATAACCCGGTAGGCGGCCTCATATATCCGACTCATAAGAAGAATTTGTACGCTTTTCTCTGGTGCGTTCGCCTGATCAATGCACAGTGCATCGATCCACATCGTCCTCTCCTCGTCCTCATTTCTCAGGTCCCTCAGCGCAGCCTCCAAGCGTCTTGTGACGCGATGGGGCTGGCCATTGACGGTGATATTAGCCTGTTCATGGATACTACCCCATACGTAGGAGAGGGCCTCGTATTTAGGGAATCTTCCTATCGTGCGAGATAGCTCATAAATATCAATTCCACCACAAGCTCTCGTTCTTTCATCCACGAATATCCTATGGCAGTCGAGCCGGCATTCAACAGGGCCATCCGCGCCGGATGGCAGTATGGTCAAGAGCCGGATGGCGTGTGCTGCGCCGCCAAGACTGTCGAGGGAGCCGTAGGCAAACATGGGTTCACGGGAAATTTAATCGATGGCGGAGAAATCAAAGCATGGGACACGTTATAGACATGATGAGCAGGAGAGGAGATAGAGTGCGGTTTGGCCTTTTACTGGGTTGTATACCTTTTTGGTGTATGCCTTGGATGGCTGTGCATGTAGATATCCATGTAGAATGTATGCCCAATTAGTGCTTACCTACATTCACCTATTACATCTTGGAGGGCACAATTCATGGACATCTTGCCAGAATTATGGCATGGAATAAAGCTACAATGGATCGCGAGGGCGGTAGTAGGGAAACGGTGGAGGAACAGTCGTGCACATGTGATGCTCCCACTGCCCAGAGAACATGGAAAGATTACAGGAGGGCTCGTCCCCGCAAAGTGGGATGGAGGGGCAGAGCTGCTTACAACGAGAGAGTGACGCGGCGATGGAAGCAGGGAGAAGAAACACGGCACGACTGCAGCATCGTGGAAGCGATCTGTCTAGTTCATGCGTCCTGCCCGTGATCCCGTGGGTACGACCCAGGTTCTTGTTTCAAGACACATCTTGATACACGAAAGGGCATGACCCCTGATCCGGCCGCTGCCCTTTTTTCCCATTCCAGGTTGCGCTGGGCGGGATCTTGTCGTCTTCCCGCGACGGGATGGATCCACAGCTCCTCCACAAGGCGAAATTGGCCCTTTTGGCTGTGTCTGATCTGATGTGCAGGCATCGCCACGTGAACCGAGGCCTATCTTCAGGCACCGGCGAGTCAGGTCCCATTTTAGCGGTTTCTTTGTCATGAGGGAGGGCACACTGGATTGTTGGTTTGATGAGATGAAGATGACACGGGAAAGGGGCTATGGTTACCCCTTTTTACATCTTACCCTTTTTTCCGGTCAGATGTTAGTGTCTTTAGTGAAGGCTGTGTTATCTCCATGCAACCCTATGCCGTGGTAGGAGATGGTGTTCGTGTGAGGTCATCTCTGTGCGACCGACCTCAGTCTTTCGTCATGCCTCATGCCTGTTCCTTGATAGCATGAATTTGTCCTTGAAAATACGGGTAGAAACAGAGGAATTTGTGGCTGAGGTGGCCAATGTACCGTGGCCCCTCTGGCTCAGCCCTAGTTTCTCTTTACCCCTCGACCTCAGATTGGTGGTAGCCTCGCAAAGGGGGGCAGAGTAGCAGTCGAAGCCCTCCTTGATTTTTGAAAATTAAAAATTAAATCTCGCGTTCTATATATATTCTGGAGGAACCAAAGGGCTGGGAGAGCAGCTGCTCATCATTCAGGGCGCGTTAATTGAATGGATGTGTTGCTAATTAGCGGCCCGCCCACACTCTTCAGTTGGGTATTTATGGATCGCGATACGAGCTGGATACTTTCGCACGGTATAGCATTTGCGTGGCGGTGCAGGTAGATTGCAGGTCCCCCCCATCTCAGGGCACCAAGCCCAAGGGACGCCCCTCCAAACCCTGAAGCGGGCCCTGCATAAGGCAATCAGCCGTCAGTGACAGCGCATGAATCCATTTAGCTGGTACCGACCTAGGGTAGCACCTGGAGAGCCTACCAGAGGTATCCCCAGGCGCTGAGCTGTGGCGGATTCCACCTCATCCACATCTCTCATTGCCGACATGCCAGTCGTCCCTCGAGCGTCGCGAGCTGCTCTGACACTTGTCTCCCACCCCTTGATCCAGGCTTCGTTCCTGAGCGTGTCTCGCAGAGTTTTCCAGGCCTTTCCATCCGTCGCCATTGCCCGCCCAACGCCAGCTTGTTTGCATCAACGACACGCTGCAGGTCGCCGTCCACCGACTGCCGCCCACCGACGAGGTACCTGACCGCACTCAAAAACGCCAACTGACGGTACACCAAACACACAGTCCACAATAACCGAACGAGAAACCGTGCGCACGCGCCACATTCTATCTCGTCATCAATCACTACCTTCAGCCCATGCCCCGATCCCCAGGGAATGCCCATCGCCAGACCTCCCGACTCACTTTATCCCTCCCAGCAGCTGTGCCTGATGTTCAACCTACAAGCAATGCCATCGAGTTGACCCAGCAGCACCAACCTACCCTGCGAGAGCTTCCCTCCCCTCCCCTCCCTCACTCGACATATACGCGCCCCGTTAGGTTGAACAGCTCTACGGTTAACACCTGGGTGCGCATCCAGTGAGCAACGAGGAGACCGAGAGGCCAGATCCCACGATGGACTCGGTTGCGGGACTGGAGCGGTCCCAATCCCAGCAGAGTCATCGGTCCATCACCTCCCACCGCAGCACCACCGTCCGAGCCTCCAAAGCCCGCAAGCGCCTCAGCCAGCCCAGCAGCTCGGCCAGCAGCGTCGCCCCCAGCGACAAGTCCCTGACCAGCTTCCCCAGCTTCTCCCCAGAGTCCCCCGTCACCGAGCGATTCGACGAGGACAGGTTCAAGACGGCAACCATCCGAGATCGCTCCGCCGACACCCGAGGTGCTAGAAGCGGCTCCATCGTCGACAGCTTGACCGAACCGAGGGCTGCGAGGGACGCCCTCTTCGAGGATGCTCCGCTGGCCAAGGCGCCAGGCGCCCTGCACCAGGCCGACAATGCGCACATCGAGCGGCTGGTCGCGAGACACGGCGCCGTGGGGCTGGTGAGACAGCTTGCCGAGGACCTTGCCCAGCGAGACGGGCAGATCTCGTTGCTGAGGAGGCGGGCGGACGAGCGCGAGATGGCCCTTCGGAGGATTATCCGAGAATGCGGGCTGTCGAATCTAGAGCTGGAGACGAGGCTGCGCACGGTCGAGGACGAGCTCAGAAAGAACGGCCGGACGAGGAATTGGGTCAACACGGGGCTGAGCGACATGATGACCGATGCGATGCAGGATTCAATGACGCGGCGTTCACACGACGAGGATGGGGATTACAAGAAATCAACGACTATTCGAGCAAGTAACCAGAATGGCAACAATGCCAGTAATAACGATCAGAGAGACGGCAAGCCGGTGGAAAGCAGCGGCAAGGGGACCGCGAGAGGCTGGAAGGAGTACTTCTGGGGCACCGGCACGACTAAGAAATCGAACCGGGGCAGCAGCTTTCTCAGCGAGGGCGTGAATTCGTCAACAATGGTTCGCTCACACTCGAGCTTGGAGAGGCGGCCTATTCTTCAGGACGATCTTTTCAAGCCGCCGGACGCAGCTGAGATACCACGAAGCGCTAGCAGGGCTTCATTTTATTCTGCCAACAACACCGACAGGAAGCCATCCAGCTCGTTCGCCAGCATGGCCCTGCGGCTGGTTGCTGGAGGTGCCATCAGCGGTAGGGAAGCTGCTGCAGAGTCGAGAGGCCGCGCTGTCAGTAATTCTACGCGCGCCGATTCTCTGCGCGGTGCGTCTGCTTCGAGCAACAAGACGGCTCGGTCTGTGCGAACTGTCTCTGTGGCCGGAGGACCTAAGGCGCTGATGGCCATGCGTCGATCCGCCACACCCGTCCCGCAGGCACAGGCGGCGGCATCGCGAGCCCAAGCGGCGGATATGTGGGACTCCATGGTTGGCACGTCGCCAGGAAACTCGGCCTCGCGACAGGAGAGCTACGGCCCGGTGGAAATGGACGCCATTCGATCCCCCGAGTCGCAACCCCCGACTCTGACACACATTTACAAAAACTATGATAACAGCGAGTATTTGACTGATCGGTTTGGCTTTATCTATGATCAGCGACGGAAAAAGCGCCAACGAGAGGCGGCGCAGATGGCCAAGCATGTCCGCAAAGGCAGTCGCCCGGAGATGATGATCAACGGCCGCTCTGGAATCTCTCCCAATCTAATTGACGACTTGCCCCCTTCCATGCGAAGCGTCTCGAGCGGAAGCCGGGCAGATAGCCCGATCAGCCAGGAAGACAGCAAAAGTATAGAGGAAGGCAAGTCCAATAAGAGGTGGCAGGATTACCTGAAGATTGCCACCTTCCCGACCGAGCTTCTCAGCCACACCCCAAGCACCGGAGCTGCATCACTTGAGGTTCTCGAAGGAACAGACACAGCGGCCTCTGAATCGCAGCCGAATGGACCTCTCAAGTCACCAGCTATTACACCCACCGACTCCGGCCTTGTCCCTGCAGCGAGCACAACCACGGCGGTGGACAATGGAACGACGACGCCACCATCCCAGCCTGAGGTGATTCCCGAGTTGGTGCTCAAGGAGGACAGAGAGCCCGTCAAGCTCCTCCTCCAGCAGCTAAGTGATGTTCACGATGCGCTACAGAGAGAGAAGATGCCTCGGTGGAACGACTTCCTACGCAAGGTCAGGGCCGAGCGTCGTCGCGAGGAGGAAGCAGCGATCGCGGCCGCCAATGCAGTTGCGGAAGCCCGGTATGAGAGGCCGACGATGATTCTCCCAGAGACGCGTGTCGCTGATGGCGAAATGATTGGAATCTCGAACCTTGGGAACAAGGGCAAGGTCGGCCGAGCCAAGTGGAACGAATTCAAGAGTCTCGTCCTCGGTGGGATCCCAGTCGCATACCGCTCCAAGATTTGGTCCGAATGTTCTGGGGCTGCCTCGATGCGGATCCCTGGCTACTACGAGGATCTGGTGGCTCAGAAGAGCGAGGATGACGACCCGGTTGTCGTCAGCCAAATCGAGATGGACATCAACCGCACACTCACGGACAACATCTTCTTCCGCAAGGGTCCAGGCGTCAAGAAGTTGAGAGAGGTTCTGGTGGCGTACGCGCGCCGGAACAAGGACGTCGGGTACTGCCAGGGCATGAATCTCATCGCGGCCAATCTTCTCCTCATCATGCCTTCCGCGGAGGACGCGTTCTGGGTCCTCGCCTCCGTCATCGAGAAGATCCTTCCCCAGGGGTACTACGACCACTCGCTCATGTCGTCGAGGGCTGACCAGCAGGTGCTTCGGCAATACGTCTCAACAGTGCTTCCCAAGTTGTCGGCACACTTGGATATCCTGTCTATTGAACTTGAGGCCTTGACCTTCCAGTGGTTCCTCTCCGTCTTCACCGACTGCTTGTGCGCCGAGGCACTGTTCCGTGTTTGGG